AGGAGTAGAAATCTTAAATCCAGAAAAACCCTGCACACTAATGTTTATTGCCGCTTGATTCATAATTGCCAAAATCTGGAAGCAACAAAGATGTCTTCAACAGATAAATGGATAAATAAACTGTGGAACAACTATATAAAGGAATATTATTTGGTGCTAAAAAGAAGTGAACTAAGTCATGAAAACACATGAAAAAAAACTTAAATGCCTATTACTAAGTGAAATAAGCCAATTTGAAAAAGCTATATTTTGTGTGACTCCAACTATATGACATCCTGGAAAAGATAAAACTATGTAGACAGTAAAAAGAGCAAGGGAGATAGGGGAGGGAAGAATAAAGAAAAGGATTACAGGATTTTTAGGGCAGTGAAACTACTCTTCATGATACTGTAATGGCAGATAAATGTCCTTATACATTTATCAAAACCCACAGAATGTATGCCACAGAGAGTGAACCCTAATGTAAACTATGAACTTGGAGTGATAATGATGTATCAATATAGCTTTATCAGTTTAAAAAATGTACTTCTCTGGTCTGGGATGTTGATAGTAGGGGAAATAATAATATAAGGGACCAGAAAGTATATGGACTATGTCTACACCTTATTCCTAACTTTGATAGTTTTTAAAAAACACATAAGATTGCTAAAAGTAGTAATTATATTTTATTGCTGCATTTCTACTATATATAGTATCTTATATATCTGATATATATAAATTTTAGTATATATATATGTACGTGTGTGTACGTGTGTGTGTGTGTGTGTGTATGTAAAGGAGTATGGGGAATGAAAAATTGCTTTATTTTATTAGAATAACACATCACAAACATACACACATATACACACATCAACAGATTTTGTGATAAATCAAAGATGTATTTCCTTGACCAAGCACTAAGAAAATATGAGGACAATAATACAAACAAAAATAACTAATTAAAAAGATACAATAGCTGAGCATGGTGACACACACCTGAAATCCTAGTGGCTCAGGAAGCTGAGGCAGGAGGACCACAAGTTCAAAGCCAGCCTCAGCAACTTAGTAAGGCCCCAAGCAACTTAGTGAGACCCTGTCTCTAAGTAAAACATAGAAAGGGCTGGGGATGTAGCTCAGTGGTTAAGCACCCCTGGGCTCAATCCCCAGTACAAAAGAAAAAAGAAAAACAATAAAAACTAATGAAGCGGGGCTGGGGTTGTGGCCCAGAGGCAGAGCACTCACCTAGCACGTGGGAGGCCCTGGGTTTGATCCTCAGCACCACATAAAAATAAATAAACAAAATAAAGGTATTGTGTACAACAAAAAAAATAAACATTTAAAAAAAAAAAAAAACTAATGGAGGGACTGGGGTTGTAGTTCAGTGGTAGAGCATTTGCCTTGCATGTGTGAGGCCCTGGGTTTAATCCCCAGCACTACACATGTACCTATGCTCGAGTATGCGTGCACACGTGCACGCACACACACACACACACACAAAATTATTTAACAGAAATTGGTAATGCAGGAAGAGAAATAAAGACATGAGACATAATAAAATGGCAGACATAAATCTACCCAAATTAATAATTATATCAAAATATAGTAGACCAAATGCTATAACAATAAGATGGAAATTTTAAGAATAGATAAAGAAGAAAGATCAAGGTCTAGCTGTACACACACACAAAAAAAAACCCCCACATACTCAGACTAGATAAATAAGATCCAGTTGTATATACACACACAAACTTTTTCTTTTATAACTTTATTTTGTTTACTTTTTTATGAGGTACTGAGGATTGGAACAAGTGCTTTACATGTGCTAGACAAGCACTCTGTCCCTGAGCCACAACCCCAGTACAACACACACATTTTAAAACGAGAAACAAACTTCAGATTCAAAGAGGTTGGAACAAAACAATGGAAAAAGATGTCATGAAACAGCAACCATACAAGTGATTAAGTGTCTATATTAATACTAAACAAAATTAAGAAATATCAATAGAGACAAAGAGGGACTCTTCATATTGAAAAAAGGGTCAATTGATTAGGAATGTTATGTAGGATAGACTACTAAACCATAAATCAAGTCTCTATAACTTAAACATCTGAAAGTATACCAAGTTATGTTTTCACTATAAATGAATTATAAATGAAAAAAAGAAATTTGAGAAATCATGAAAACACAATATATCACCTTTTCTGGGATCCAGCTAAAGGAAATTAGTTTGGCAGTTGCTTAAGAACTTTTTTAAAAAATGTTTTTATTTTTTATTGTTGTAGATAGACAGAACACCTTTATTTTTATTTGTTTATTTTTATGTGGTGCTGAGGATAGAACCTAGTGCCTCATGCATGCTAGGCAGGTGCTCTACTGAGCTTCAAATCTAGCCCCATTTATAACTTTAGACATAGAAGAAAACCTAAAACCAATTATTATGGTTTCCAACACAAAAAGCCAGGAAAATAAGATCCAATCATATCCAAAACAAGCAGAAGGAAGCAAAGAGTAAAGATCAGAGTAGAAAGCAACAAAATATAAAACAGAATGACAACAAAATAAAAACCAATGAAACCAAAAGCTTTTTTCTGGGATGATCTGCCAAATTAATAAAATTTAGCTAGATTGAACAAGAAACAAAGATAAAATTATCAAAATCAAGAATGAAAGGTAGGATATTACTATAGACCCTATAGAAATTAAAAGGATTATAGGACATTATGATGAGTAACTTTATAGTTAAATAAAAACACAAGTTACCAAAACTGTCAAGAAATAGAGAACAGAAAGAGAAAAAAAGGAAACAGAACTGTGTTATGGTTTGGATCTGAAGTGTCCTCTAGTAAGCTCATACAATAGTGCAACAATGTTTAGAGGTGAAATGATTAGATTATGGGAGCTATAACCTTGTTGGTGGATTCATCCATTTGATGGATTAATCATTTGAAAGGTCTACTGTGCTATTTGGTAACTGTGGGTAGGTTGGGTGAGGCTGTAGGTTGGGTTACTGCAGGTGTACCTTTGGGGATTAATCTTGTCCCTACCCCCACCCCCTTCCAGCAACAGCTGTCCTGAGCTGTGTTGCTTTCCTCCACTATACCCTTCCTCCTTGATGTTCTGCCTCTCCTCAGGCCCAAAGCAACAGAGTCAACTAACCAGGAATGAAACCATGAGCCAAAATAAACTTTTCCTCCTCCCAGTTGTTCTTGTTGGTTAGTTTGCTGACAAACAGCTAACACAGAGTGGTAGCTAGCATAGAAATATAGTTACTAATTAAAATACTTCGAAGAAGACTCAGATATATATTTTATTCCTTCTTTTTCATTTCTTTGAAATTGCTATTCTGGTAGTCTGTGAATTCATGATCACTTCAAAATTATTTAGAAATGCAGCTGACACAGAGAGTCAAATACTCATGATTCTAGAACCAATACTATGGAAAGCCCCATTTGTTACCTGTCATGCCTGAACTCTTCACCCAGGTTGTTTATTACAGTCCATTATTTACAAAGTATAAAATTAAGAGATTTTACATAACTAATCAACATTAAAAGGACAGCATGATTTTAAGGAAAGAAGGATTTCTTGGAGGTCCAATGCCTAATAGAAGAGAATAAAAAGTATTTGTAGGTTAAGTCTAGCCTTATGCAATTACAAGGCTAAATATTCATTTGGAAGTAAATCTTATCATGTGGCTTCAAGTCTGACTAAAGCCCTCCTGTTAATCTGATACTGAAAGGGAAAAATGAAATCTAAAAACTAGAGACCTCTCTTGATACAGAGTACAGAATATTTTTATCCTTGGAATAAAATCCCACAGACAATACAATTTCCTAAACTTTGATATGTATGTGATGCATATCTATGATTAATTTTTGATATATCTTTTTTACTTCGGCTAATAAGCATAAGGGGTGAGATCAAAGAGGTGGGCTAGGGACCAAACAACTGAGTCCAGCCTAGTTGTACTAGAAAACTATTAGAATTAAGTAGGAAAACAGCACAATTTGGATTAAAAAACAAAAACTATTTYGGCTGCTATGCAGAGGATGGATGAGTTGGGAAGCAGTTAACATGGGAAATAAGTGATGAGGTTTGGTCTGAAGAAGTGACCACAATGACATATCCCTCACCTGACTTTCTAGATTTCCAGACAGCTTGCTGAGGCAGGTACTATTATCTTCATTTCCTAATATTTGACACTCATACTTTCATTTATCTTCCTAAGCCAAGGCAGAGGGAGATGAAGTAACTGGCCTAAAGTGTTACTGCTTAGGAGGGGCCATGCTGAGATCACCCAACCATCTGGCAGAAGAGCTGAGCTCTTCCTCCTGCAGTGGTAAGATGAAGAGAAAAGGCTGAAGTAGTAAAATGTTCTGGAGTTGCAGCTGTCAAGCTTTATTAATGGATTAGAAGTAGAGATAAAGGAAATAAAAGAACGACTCCTAGGTTTTGCTTGAGCAACTAAGTGAATCTGGTAGTATAACTGTACAGAGAGAGCATATGAAATAGGAAAAAGGGTTCAGTGCCCAAACTTGGAACACTGCAATATTAAAAGTTGAACAGAGGAGGAGGAACAAGCAGAACTTACAGTGCTTACAATGAAAAGCAGAGAGCACAAAACCCCAAGGACTGAGCATTTCAAGGAGGAAGGAGACAACCAATGTGAAGAATACTGCAGAGCAACAGGGGAAGTGAGAATAGAGGTGGGTCATGGGTCTTTGCCCAATGGAAAGTACTGGAAAAGTTGAAAAGAGACGAATACCCCCTAAATTTACTTTCACCACTGCATTTCCTCTGCTGAACTGTTAATCTCATCTGAAAGCTCCTGGCACTGAGTTTTATTTCAAACTCCCTATCTTCTAATCACAATTCTTGGAGTAGAAATGAAATTACATACATGCTATGCAACAGAGTATCAATGCTAAGTTAGTTCCAAGGGTTTTCTGGTCTTATAATAAAGGTGAAGTCAGTTGCACTAACATGCACCCTTTTACCCTCCACCTCCAAATTCACATACCGTGAGAGATCCATTTTGTGTGCTGGGTGAGTTGCTACTCTGCTCTCCGTGGGCTTGCGTATTTCCATAGAGTGTCAGGTTATGCTCACTGGTCTGGCCGGCATAGTCCTGAGTGTGTGGCACTCCATATTCTGTGGGAATTCCATTCTGTGGAGGTGGTGGGAACGGGATGGTAGTAAAAGGCTGGACCATTGCGTCAGGAGTTGTTGTTGGCTCCTGGTTACCCTGGAACAAGCAATGAAGGGAGAAAAGGTGGAGAAAGAGTGACTTATTAAATCCTTGTTATAGATAATTGCTTTAAAGGTGAGTATAAAGAGTTCTCTGAATATTCTCTCACTGCACAGATAAATGGAACACTTACTGCCCCAGAATTAGGGAAAATATTGTTATACATATACATATAAATAGATGCGCATACATGCCCCAATTTAGGCCAATTTGTGGATGCTAGACAAGCCAAGACCATATTAAAATTAACTAGATAACAAGAGGTCAAAAAGCTTCCCTTTAAATCAAGTTTTGAAAAAAATAACAAGAAATTTCTCACATAAGAGATGACTAGTTTGTCTAGCATGCACAGGCCCTGGGTTCAATTCCAGTACCCTCCCATCCCTCAAACTGCAAAGTTAGTTTGGGCCATTAGTATGTTTTTAAAGATATTCTCTAATTCTTCAGCAATTCTTAAGAAGCCAAAGGAGTACAAATCAATTTCCTTAAAATTGCAATTCACAGCACTGGCAGAACAACATTGTAAAGTCTTAAAATGAGATAACAACAGATTTTTAGAGCACTGAATTCCAAAGAAAATATTTTTTAAAAAAAATTCACCTTTAGATATCAAGGCAGAGACTCTTGGATACTAGGCTAATAATAATAAAAATAATAAAAATACTTTAATTCAAAATTTTAGAAACAGACAAACTTTCCAGGCCAAAAAGAACATGGAAATGTTCTTCCTAATTACTGTTGGCATTATAAGGTGAGCCACAGGGTGCCCTCCTGTGGCATCCATTTCCAGATGTTAATACTTGGGATCCAGAATGATATCTGAAATATCAGTAAAGAAGATGCAGATGCTTGCCTACCATGTGCAAGGCAAACCCAAACACTGAGGGGGTGGGGTGAGGTGGGATGGGGTGGGGTAGGGTGACAGTAACTATAGGAAACTGTTAGAGGCCATTCTGGCTCCAGGGTCTTTCTCACTTCTGTTCCATCTCCAAATTCATATACAAAACAGGGGAATATGTGTTACTTACTTTTCAAAGCCTTCACTATTCTACCTTCTCATCAACCTTCCATTTAGCAGATAAAAATAAAGGCTATTATTTTACTGAGGACACACAAATCTACAAAGTCTTGGGCAATTATCTTTCTGGAAATAGCTAGCAGAGGTGGCCAAAGGCTTTAAAATATTCGAACTTAGATAAAGTTTTCCCATGTTTTAGACATTAAAACATTAACGATCAAGGAAAATCTGGTTTACATCACTTGGTTTCCTCCCCACTGTGAGCATCATGTCTTTCAATCAAGGAAGTAATCATTCCCCTCTCTCCCTGGTTCCAGTCATCCTTCTTTCCCCTCAGATGGACAGGTGATTCACTAACCACTGAGAGCTGCAGAAACCTACACTTTCTGCATTTTCTGAACCTCAAGGCATTCACCATTAATTTGATGCCATTAAACTCACATTATCTCAAAATGAATCCAAAGCTACACTACTACAATAATTATTCTGCACAAAATAAAACATAAACCTACAAATGTGGTTATAAATGATGAAATATATGATCATGGATTGAAAGACTTGATGTTCTGAAGATGACAATGTATAGTAATCCCCCCAAAAAACAATCAAAAGTTACTATTAACATTTATATGGAAACTCAATTGATCTAGAATAGCCAGAACAATTTTGAAAAAGAACAAAAACTTCAGGACTTAACACTACCTGATTCCAACCAAGACTTACTTTAAAGCTACAGTATCAAATCAGTATAACACTGGTTTAAGGATGAACAAGTAGATAAACAAAACAAAAGAATCCAGAAACAGACATGGGCATATATTGTCAATGAGAGGTGAATCCAATGGGAAAAGGAAAATCTAACAAAGGAATAACTGAATACTTGATGAAAAAAATAAGCCCTAACCTACCCCAAATATACAATGATAAACTTGAAAGAAATAATAGATCTAAATATAAAAACTAAAACTATAAAACTTCTAGAAACACACAGGAAAATCTTCACATCTCTGGAATAGCTTAGGACATAAAAAGCAAGAACCATTAAAAATTGATAAACTGAACAAACCAAAATTAAACAACTGTTATTTGAAAGATATCAATAAGATAATAAAAAGACAAGATAGACACTGGGAGACAATATTCATAATACCTATATCCAATAAAGGACATATACCCAGGATTTATAAAGCACTGTTATGTCATAATAAAGCATTTTTTAAAAAATAGGCTAAAGACTTTTGGCAGCTATTTTCCACAAAAAGATCTACAAATGGGCAGAAAAATACATGAATGGGTGAGGCTCAACATTAGCCATCAGAGACATGAAACACAAACCAAAATGAGATACCATTCCACTACTGCTAGAGTGGCTAAATTAAAAGACTGAAAACATCCAACGTGGACAAGGATGTAGTAAGGAACTTTCACACACTGCTGTGGACATGTAAAATATATATCCACTTTACAGAAATGTTCTGCTGTCTTATGATGTCAAAACATTCCCTTGGGCATGGTGGCACATACTTGTAATCCTCCCTAACTTGGGAGACTGAGGCAAGAGGATGGCAAGTTTAAGGCCAGTCTCAGCAACTTACTGAGATGTTATCCCAAAACAAAAAGCAAAAATAGCTCGTGATGTAGCTCTGAGTTCAATCCCCAGTACCACAAAGAGGAAGGAGGGGGAAAAAAAGAAAAAAAAAACAAAAACAAAAAAACCCCATTTTTTGTATTTACCTAAAAGAAATGAAAGCATGTCTTCAAAAACATCTGTACAGGAATGTTCTTGGAAACCTCATTTATAATAGCTCTCATTGAAAACAACTGTACTTCAACAAGAGAATGGGTAAAGAAAGTGTGGGCTATTCACAAAATGGAATGCTTCTTGAAAGTTGGATAAATCTTAACACTGAGTTAAATGAAGAAGCCGGACATAAAAAATTACTTACTATATAATTCTACTCATAAAGTCTAAGCATAGGAAGATCTAATCTACAGGGCAGATACGAGAATCTACTGGCCTCTGTTTGGTGGGGGGGGAGCACTGGTTGAAATCTGATATACTGGAACATTCTACAGTGATGAAAATGTATTATGAGTGGGGATTATACAGATKTATCAAATTGTTAAAACTCATTAAACTAAATATCTGATAAATATCATTGTATCTTATTTATACCAGAAAAGAAAAATAACACAATAAAAAGCCACCAATAAACATAAACTATGAAATACTGTCACTTATTAACAAAAGACTACTGCACCCATCACTATTATTTTATTTTATAAATAATAATACAATTGAAATGGAAATAAAATCATAAAGAGACCAGGAATCCTTATAAACATGACATGTATTTCAAAACATCAAAAGAATTAACTACATACAAAGTAGTAGATTAAGTAATACAAAATTCTTAAGATTTATTATATAATTATTTAAAAATAGCAATAAACATTCAAAATAGTGACAAAATTTGTAACATTCAATATATAAAATAAAACAAGAATAATAAATAATAGTTACATTTTTTGAAGGAACTCTTAATGTAAAAATGTTAAATCAGTCCCAAAATAAAATGCACACTTAATATCTTTCCCGGCCAGAAACAAATGATGTACAGGGAAGAAAGTGGACTAAATATTTTTCTTTCCTTTTTTTCCCTCCTTGTAGTTGTAGATGGACAGTATGCCTTTATTTTATCTGTTTTTGTTTTTTTTTTTGTATGTAGTGCTAAGGATTGAAACTAGTGCCTCACCCATGCTAGGCAAGTGCTTAGCTCCAACCCACATTTTTCTAATTTCTAATTTGTAGAGGGAAAACTACCAGGAACGTTTGAAAGTAGAAAAAAAATTAAAACTTGTCTTAAAACTTTTCATAAAACTACTGTAAATTAAACAGGATACACAAAGTGATCAAGGGAATACTGACAATCCTCAACAGATTCAAGTTTATATATAAAAGTAATAGAAGAACATTACTGTTATTTGCAAAAATTGAACACCTATCAGCAAAAAAATAAAATATTAGCCCCCCCCAGCTCATCTGCCATGCCAGAAAAAATTCCTGAAGAATAAAGCCTAATATAAAAGTGGAAAATATGGGAATACTTGGAAGTACAAATAGGATGTGGGAAATTTTTAAAACAGTAAACCTAAAACCTGGATTGGGGGGGTGGGGAATGACAGCTTTGGTTACATTGGTTAGGGAAAAAAGAAAAGAGGGAGGGGGGAAGAGAAGCAGGGCGAGAAGCGGATTTTAAAGTCAAATGAAAAAATCAACTGGGATAAAATATTAGCAAAGGGAAGACAGACAATGGATTATTACCACTGATGGAAGAATGAGTTATTCAAGTTGACCAGACAAGGCACACACACATGCACACAAGCACACACATCCTGCAACAGAAAAAGAGGCAAAGGATATATAACTTAACAATTCACAGAAGATGAAATACAAATGGTAATATAATAAAAATGTTCAACTTCAGTAAGTCATGGAAATATATATGAACATCAAAATAAGACCAATATTTTTAGTCATCAGCAAAAATTTTTTAAATAGTTTTCTTGAGGTATAACTGTCATGTAATAAACTGTATCTACTTATCTGTAGTACATAATTTTGCAAGTTAATATATATACACATGTATTCTCATGATCATCACCAAGCAAGATAGTGTTTTTTTTTAATGTTTATTTATTTTTGGTTGTAGTTTATGACACAATACCTTCATTCTATTTATTTTTATGTGGTGCTGAGGATCGAACCCAGGGCCTTGCATGTGCTAGGCGAGTGCTCTACCGCTGAGCCACAACCCCAGCTCCAAGATAGTAAATGTCTATTCAAAACTCCAAAGCTTTCTCACACCCTAATAAGCATGTACTACTTTTTTAATAAGACATACAAAATATAGTTTTAGTATCAAAGAGAATAACAAAAAGTATAATCAATAACAAAAGTCAATATGCTGTGGCAGTG